CCGGGGGGGGGGGGCCAGGAGCATCTCAGCTGTCCTGGTGCTGGTAGGTGGGTGCCCCGTGCTCTCCCAGGGAGGGGTGTGGGGCAGGCACTCTGTGCTGCCATCAGCCTAGGAGACCTATGGGTGTTCGTGGCTCCAGCTCCCAGGGCAAAGGGATGCTGTCGAGGCAGCTGCAACGACACCCGGGAAGTAGCAGCTCTTTGCCAAGTGCCTTGCTCCACAGCAGCCCCATAGCCCCCCATCCATCACGCGCCTCTTCCCTCACCCCAAACAGCCCGGAATAGCAACAGGCAGCATGGGCAGGAAGGCCAGTGCCGGGCAAGCAGAAGTCCTGGAAGAAGCCTGTTCCTCTGCCCTGCAGCTCCAGAGACATCTCTCTCCCCCAAGCCCTGCGCTGACCCAGGCTCTGGCTCCCCCAAGCCCCCTCCTCACTTCCCTCTCCCCAGCCCAGTGCAGCAGCTTCCCTTGCCCAGCGCCGCTCACCAGGCAATCCATCACCTGCTCTCTCCCCTGGCCTCTGGGCTCCTTCCCCCGCAGGCCTGGGCGCTGCTCCTCTACAAGGGGCCTGGCGAGGGGCGTGTGGAGCTGTGAGCTCTTCCCCACGTCTCTGGTTACTGCAAAAGGCTCGTAGCAGGAGTGGGCAGCCGGCCCCCGTCTGCCGGGCACGGGCAGAGCTTGGCGGCTGCTGCAGAGATGCCAGGAGCCCTCTGGAAACAAAGTCCATGCAGACGGGTGCTCCCAGCCTGCGCCCTGGGGAGCCGGGTGGAGGGTCCCTGGTAGGCGGCTGCGGTCTCGCGGCCACAGGCAGGTGGTGCTCTCGAGCCATGTTCCCTGGGTGCTCCCAGCCCCTGAAGCTGGCAGCAGTCGGGCACCACGCCCAGAGAGCCCCTGCCCCCCTCCTGCAGCAGGGCGGTGGGGGGCAGCTTCTCCCAGGAGCATCTGCAGCCCCGTGCACACGAGGCCTCTGGCTTCAGGCCATGCACACCCGGAGCAGTGTCTGTGCCTGCCTGCCTGCGAGAGTGGACGGGGGCGCGGGGACAGTGTCCAGCTGCCTGAGCTGCAGCAGGCCAGGCGGGGGCTGCCCCGGAGCTGGACGGGGGTCTCCAAGAAACACAGACCATTTATCCCTGTTTTCTTTCCAAACATTTATTTATCAGCAACGTTGGCTCAGGTGTGACGGGTATCCCGACCAGCGGTGCAAACCGGCAGCTGTCAGTCATGGCCCTGGACGCTCTCCCGAGCAGCCAGACGGCTCTGTCTAGCAGGGGGCCAAAGGGAGCCCCCACCCAGCGCTCTCCCCCATGAGGCCTGGCCTGGGCGCCCGGGTGTAGCAGAGGGCTCTTGTGCGTAAGGAGGTTGGGAGGCCTGAGCAGGGCAGGGCCTGGCCAGGGACGGGGTGGGTGGGTCAGCGATGGTGGTGGAACGAGAATGGGCATGCTGTCTGCTGGGACCCCCCCGCCGCGCCCAGGGTGGCCTGGCTGTTCCTGTGGGAAGCTTCCTGCGAACACAGCTGTCCCGGGCTCCCTAGCCAGAGTGGGTCGTGTCTGACCGCCAGGCAGGGAGCCAGGGGGACCTGGGTGAGCATGTGGCACAGGGGCAGCGGGTCCCACACTGCCACCGGGCAGCACAGCCGGCTCCCCCCGCCCCCTCCAGCACCGGGAGCCTGCAGGGAAAGCAGCTCCCAGTGGTACACGAAGCACCCGGGTGGAGACTCCCCTGGGACCCCCAGCCCTTGGTCCCTGGCGCTTGGGGGAGCCCACGGCTGCAGCCCGTCCCTTCCCCAGGGCTGGGAGCCAGCGATGCGGCCCTGCCCCGGAGCCGGGCGTTCCCGCTCCCTGGTCCCAGCCAGGTGCCCAGGCCTTCAAGGTGGGGTCAGGAAGCAGCAGACAGACAGATCCCATCTGCCTTCAGTGCCCAGGCTTACCCACGGAGGGGGGGCAGTGTGCGTGTGTGTACACACAGATGGACTCCCACGTGCACTTGTGTGCACCCGGTACACGAAATGCACACGCATCCCTGTGCACACGCAGGCCCCAGGCGGCTGCGGGGCTGGGCACAGGCTGCGAGAGAGCCGGTCTCCGGTCCCCCTCTCCACGCCGGCCGCGGCCCCAGGACTGAGCCGTGCCGGCGGCCGTTCTCCACCGTGTGCGGCCCCAGCCCCGCTCAGGCGCGAGTAAACGGCTGTTCAAAGACCCAGGGCAGCTCCGTGGGCACCAGGATCTGGGTGTCCCGTGGGGCCAGGCCGCGGGCTCTCCCTCCCGGGCGAGAGGAGGCTCCTGAGGGGAGAACAGACAGAGCTGAGTCGCTTGGGCACAGCGTGGCTTGTTGTGCTCCCCTGTGCCCCCAGCCCCGGACCCCACCAGCGGTGCCCCAGCCACTGCCCCGTGCTGCACGTGCTCCATCCTGGAGCATCCCCCCCATGGCGGACCCGGGAGCCTCTTGCCACGAAGCCGAAAGCTGGCCGGTCGGGGGGATTTGTGCCCGAGACCCCCCGGCTAGACTCTCCACTACATGTTCACAGAGGCAGAGGCTTCCTGCCAGCTCCCGCGCAGCTCGGAGAGGAAACCTGTGGCGACGCGGACGCCTCGGAGCCCCTCGTGCCCAGCTCCCCGGGGCTGCCGCTGGCAGCTGAGACTGTGCGGAGCTCAGCTCGCTGCAGGCCCGGGGGGACGCTGCCCCTGCCCCTGCCCCTGCCCCTGCCCCTGCCCCTGCCCCATGGCACCTCTGTTTGGGGCAGCGTGGCAGGGGAGATCTGAGCCAGCAAAGCGCGGGGGGCTTTGCTCTGCCCTCTGGCCGGGCTATGGAGCTGCCTCCTCCTGGCTGGGCGCTTTGGGGAATATCCCATAAAACCGTGGCGTGCGGAGCCACAGACCAGCAATGCCAGCAGCGGAGAGCAGATGCCAGAGTGGGAAGGAGACAGCGGGAGAGGACGTTGCTGGACGTGCACCCTGGGCAGGGGGGACTGTACGGAGCCCAAAGGCGGGTTTGTACGGCTACCACCGCCCCGAGGGAGGAGCTGCTCGCTGGGCCTGCCTGCGTCGCAGGAGGCAGAGCTGCGGGGCGGCGACGGAGCAGCAATGGGGCGCTCCTAGGACGCCCCGTTGCCTCCTGCGGGGTGCGGTGCTGGGGGCATGGGAAGGAGCCGCCTCTCAGCCACCCCCCGAGGAGCGCTCAAGCCCCCTCTTCATTCACTGCCAGGCACCCCGCGGCCGCCCTGCTGATCGGGGCTGAGGATCACGCCGAGCCCAGGGGCCAGCCGCTCTCGGCGCCGAGCCCAGGGCAAGCGGGCCCCCTGGCAGGCCTCATTTCAAGCCTGAAGAGCCTGGCTGATTGCATTTTTCCAGCCTGCTTGCTTTGCCAGCGCAGGGAGGCAGCAGGCAGCGCTGATGAAAGCCCTGCTCCCCGGCGCGGCAGCACATCGATCTGACCTTGGCCAAGGTTATCGGTGCCCACGGGGGAGCCGGGAGAGCAGCGCTATCTTGCTGTTGGCAGGCAGGTGACTGCAATGGCTCCGGCACTGTTGATAGCGCGGGGGCCTGTTATCAGCAGCTGTGCGGGTGCAGCACGTGGAGGTGATGGTGACCTTGGCCGGCTCAGCACCTGGCCAACGGCAGGTCACCACTCCCTCCATGGCACTGGGTAAGACCTGTGCTATGGCAAGGCAGCTGGGAGAAGGGCTGATGCGGCACCGATCCTGCTGCACTGGCAAAGAGATAGAGGCTGGAGGCCTATAGGATCGTGCAGGGGGGAGAAAGGGCATAGGGAATGGATATTCCCCAAGAGCTAAGGGCACTTGCTGGCCAGGTCTGCCCCGGCCATCGTGGGAAGCTGACAATGGTCCGGCTTGCATGGGAGTGCTCAGCCCATTGCAGCCACTTCTGGGGAGGAACGTGGCCGCTCACAGCACCGCCGCTCAGCAGCATTCGCCCAGGAAATGAGGAAGCTGAGTGAACAACACTCCCCGTCCCAGGACAGCGCCTTTGATGGGGTTGCTGTGCGGGTGGGTTCATCAGGGCACCCATGCGGATGCCCCAGGGCCAAGTGAGCCTTACCCCCACCCTGACGCTGCTTCCCAGATACTCACCCAGTGGCTCCCGCCGGTGCCTCTGTGTTTCTCTCAGCGGAAAAATCTCACGTTGTCCTTTTCCCCTTGCTGGACTTGGGAACTGGAGGCTGCAAGCCTATGGCAGGGGGCCAGCTGAGACTCAGGGGAAGGCTCCAGAGCTGGGAAGGGTTAAATCAGACAGAGAGAAAAACAAATTTAAGGACGGGAGGTGTGGGGAGGGAGAGACACAGATGCTCCTCTGTGCCCTGCTTCAGCCACAGCCGTGGGCCACACTCTGCTCCCTGCAGAAAGGCCCCCGAAGGGGCTGGTGGGGGCTGCACCAGGCTCCTCGTGCTCGCTGATGGCTAATCCTCAGCGAGGAGATGCAAAGCAAAGTAAAAAGCAACCCCTCCCCAGTGGCGCTGGCCATCTCCCCCAGCTCCACCGAATGTGACCACCAGAACAGGGCTGCTAGAGCGAAGCATGGACATGTGTGCTGGTGCACATGCATGTGCACACATGTGCCCTTGTGTGCGCATATAGGAGTGGGCCTGCGGCTGCCCAGCTTCTCTGGCAGTTAGCAGCTGACACGCCTCCGTCTCATCCTTCCTGGGGATGCTCTGGTGCTATGGTTTACACTCTGGCGGATCTGTCTCTCCCCAGCGCTTGCCACAAGCCCTCGGCCCCCCTGGAGCCCCCCGGCTCCGAGCCCCTGCAGTAGTTGTGAGCGGTGCCAAAGCCTCCCCGTGCTCAGCTCGGACATTGCACTAGGAGAGGGGGTGCCATCCCTTGCTGTCCTCTCCCCTTTGATCCTGCTCCCTCTGGACTAGCTGGACCCTGCCTTTTCCAGCTGCTCGCACACAAAGCTCCCTCGGGGCTGCCGGCACCCCTTCCTCTCTGCTTGCCGAGGGACCGGCCAGCCCCAGGCCTGCTGCTCCAGCCTTTCCCGTGCGCCCAGCCCACACAGGCTGGCAAAAGGACTCAGCTTCCGCTTGGACGCTTGAATGAACGGTGAGATCAGCCGAACTGCCCAGTGCCCAGCTCTGGGACGCCCGGCCTGGAGCCGCAGGGTGCCGAGCTGCTTGGAAAACCCCCTTGCACTTGACAAACTGCCTGCGTGAGGCCTGGGCGCTGACCGCCGGGATGAGCATTCGGGGAGGGAACGGGGAACGGAGCGAAAAGAGACGATCGATTCTGCCACCTTCGTTTCCACGCTTGGCTACCTCCCGCCCCGGCCGGCCAGGGCCGTCTTGGTGCTAACAGGCCACCTGTGCCCCCGCTACCAGGGGGATCCGGCCTATTTGCTGCTGATTACAACCAACCGAGCCGCCTGGGAGTCCCGGTGACATGCCCCGTGGGCTATGCTTGGGCCTGAGCACCCAACACCGCTCTCAGCCTCCCCTCGGGCTCTCGGTCAGAGCGGCGCTGGTTTGGCAGCGGCTGTGGCCCTGCTCAGGAAGATGGGGTTTGCAAAGACACGGCCCTGCATTGTGCTCCAAGCGGGCTGGGTGCCTGTGCAATGGGCCAGGATGGGGGAGCCCTGAGCAAGCAGCGAGACCCTGGCCCACCTGGGGCTTGGGCTCTGGAGGTCTGATTCTGCCACCATGTCCTGGGGCAGAAATGACCCCTTTGCCCTGTCTATGGGCTCTGCAGGGCAGGCAGCTCGTGCAGTGCCAGGCCCTGGTGCTGCTCGGCAGCCTCCAGGCCCCAGTAGGATCCCGCGGCCAGGGAGAGGACCGGCCAGCACCACCTGCCCGAGCCAAGCCCCTGGCGGGACTGGATGCCAGCCCGCCCCGGCCGTGCCGGATCTGCTGTGAGCTGAGCCAGGGCACCGGACGGGGAGCAGGGCCCACGGTCCCCTTTCCGGGCCAGCCACTTCACGAAGCCCTCAGGGCCCTTCTGCGAGATACGGTCTGCTTCCCGGCCCCCTGCAACGTGCAGCCC